AGTGTACGATTTGACCACACGCTACGTGTATGAAAAAAGTTCCTCCGCTTGGACAAGTAACCAAAATCATAGTGCACTTTGTTTCCGTCAGTTGCTATGGCTGTGTCCATACATTTAAATATTTTCATGAATGTGACATGAATACCAAACTTTGAAATTAAATAAAAACAAGGTCGTAAACCTACCGTTTGCACCAAGCAGGTGCTTGTTATTGTTTAGCTGAGCACTTCATTTTAGGGTATTTGAGAACTAGACATTGATTGATTTTGTGTATTTTTAATGTATCATATTAAATTATTACATTTTTAGTGACTTAGTGTTTAAATATAAAATATATGTTTGAGTCATCATTTCTAGTCAATTGGTGTTGTCGTTTTGTGTAAGGAGATTGTTAATTTTAAATACCATGTGTATTTATATTCGTTTTGTTAAAAAAAAAAGAATAATAAATAAGCACAAAATACGATGACGTAGTCGGAAGTGTATACTTATTATTGCAATAAGCGGTTTTTATCGAAAGGTTTATAATCAAAATTCTCTTCCAAAACTCACACAAGCCAAAGAAACATGCACACTATAACTTAAAATATTCATAATAAAATATTGAACCCATTTGTAAAGCTGTATCTAGTAGGCTTATACGTAATATGTATATTAAAAAAAACATTTAATGAAACCGGCCATGTATTTTAAAATATATAAAAGTAATGATTTCTATGTACTGAATAGTTTGCTAATTTTGACACTTTAGATAATAAGGCCTCAGATTGTAATATTGCTGTATTTTTGCAAATTGAAAAAAAAAATTGTAAAACTGCCATACACAATGTTGGCAAATGGAAGGATAGTATTAGCTGTAAAAAAAAGATTGCACTGGAAATTAAAAGAAAAAGGTATCTAATAATCTTAAACTTGAAATACGTAGACGTTTTGGGAAATATGAGGAAAAATTGTTCCAGGGTGCACACCACAAACGAAGGCTCGCGGCAGATGAAAGAACTAATACCGGAAGTATGAAAATTTATAGTAAATGCCAACCTTTGCATCGATACTAATGTCGCAATCAAAATACTTCATTCGTGGTGCGCACTTCACTAGTTAGGGAATGTATGTTTAGCGTGCATTAGCAAAAAAAAACATGATGTCAATGAGAAAAGTTGTCCAAATTGCTGTGAATTCTTGAGCGTTTGAAGGAAAACTTATGCGTGCCACCTATTGCGCATTATTTGTACTACAATGCTTAGTAGTGAATAAATTGCTCTAAGGCAGGCGCTAACAAACACATTTCTAAGTTACAAGTTTGTCTAAATTCTTTATTATTTATTCAATTCTAAATTATTAATTATGAATCATACTAGACCAACACAATTTCTTCTGTCATTTCTCTAGAATAAACCATTCCTTCGAGATTTTTAAAAGGCCGTGATATTTTTTTGTAATTTAATTTGAAAAGTAAGTAATAACATTTTTTTTTCGTTTTATTTTATGATGATGTAAAAAGCAGACTCTTTTTAGATTTTTAGGATTCTTTTCCTATATTCTTTAGACTAAGTTTTTCCCGATATACTTGGAATTAGATTTTTTCCTATTCGATCCATGTTGTGTTCTGTCAGAGATAATTATTGGATACATTTTTTTACTTTATAAATAATAACGGCAATTAAATTAGACTTTTACATTCGGAGAATAGAAATTCCTGAATTTTTTTTAATCTAATATCAAATCAGCCGCCTAGCAAACAACTCTAAACCACTGGTGAGAGTTATTTAAAACAGAGAGTTTTTTTTTAAACATTAGTTTTTATTTATTCGCAAAAATTTAGTTGACATTTAGTATCCCGTTAAGATGCAATAATCATAAAGCTATTTATAGTTTTATACAACAGAAGCGCCTCTGTTGTTGTTTTAGCGTTCGTATTGGGCCAATCGTTGGCAGTGAAAACATTTTCAAGTGTACGGTTGACTTGATTGATAGCCAAGTTGCATATTGAACTGCATCGGCCAATACGATCGGTTCAGTTAAACGCATTTCCCGGTCACGATAATAATATTTAGAAATAAATATTTCGGTGCATCACCATAATGTCACAATTTCTCTTATTATTAGAATCTTTTGATGATGCACTTATTGTTGTTTATTTTTCTTGTTCGCGGTGGTAGGTGACGAATGCATTGTTGTAATTGGAAAAGATTCCGTGAAGCTGTAAGTCGAAATTTAATATTTTTTTTATATAAAAAAAAACATAGGCTAAATCATACGATACGCTGTGTATTAAAATAATATATTTTAGTAGTAGATAGGTAATTTGTATAAAACCCAAGTTCTGTACAAAGTTGATGTTAAAACGACCTCAAGTTGATGGGATACCATATAATGTTCTTTCAATTGAACCAATTATAAAGCATTTTTATTATTTTCTTTGTTAATTTTATGTATAATTCGGAACATTCATTGCTGTTGGTTTGTTGACATTTAGAATAGATTGATTAAGATTGTGTATACATTTAATTTAAAAAAAAAAAGTACAATCACTTCGCATAATTTTCACAACATTGTCATTTACATATCATCTATATTATATTGAAACAAAAAAGTATTTAATTCATTAAAACATTTGCATTTAATGGATTTATCCCAGCCCTATGAACATCAATTCATTTTTCAAGTATTTATTTTTCTGTTGCTCCAAAATTAACGCAAAGTAATTTAATAATGAAAGCGTTCTTAAGAATCTCGTCAGCACAAGTGTCAGCTCTCACTTACAGCAATTTTAGAATACATTTTGCTTTCTTTTGTGATTAGTCTACTGTAATTTTCTTATAACTAACGCTGTTTATAAAGTTGGTGATCGTAGTAATTAACAATAATTAGTGTACAAAAAAAATGATTAATTGATCAAAATTTAAAACATTAACTAACATTAACCATTATTTATTTATCATTTTTATATATACTCATTTTCATTAATTATTATCATCACTATCGCGAATTTTACAAACGTTACATAAAACGTAAGTAGAAAACGTATTAAACCAGAAATTTTAAAATCAAAAATATTCAGGCAAATATTGAAAAAAAGACTGCCTGACGTATAAGCGATATAGGATACAATATTGTTTTAAAGTCTCTTCAGAAAATACACTAAATTGACGTAAAAATTTCGAAAATCCGACTCTATTTCACAATCTAGATAAACTTCATGTCAAAATATCTAAGATGGTATCCAGTGCACTTTAAAAAAAGATGTGAAATGAAGATTCTTAAATTTTATAAATACGCTACCCATTAAATTTTATTTTCTCTCTGGCAGTTCTTTTTTGATTTGCAAACTCTACCGCACCGGAAATCAAACATTGACCATTGAAGCCGTCAAATTATTATTTGATAACTATGTGTTACAGAATACTAAAAATAATTTTGCATCAAAATATTATTGGAACGCATCCGATAATTAATAATCTATCTTAATAGCCAAAACGCTATAAATGTTTTCTTTGTATTTCTGCATAGAAATAAATAAAAAATAATCAATTCCCTATCTGTTTAATGAAAGAGAGTAAATATATATTGGTTAAGGACGAAATGTAATAGGTTAATAGGTTTGAATCCATGGAGTTTTATATCCCAAATTTTACATCAACATATTACAATGAGCGCTGCCATTTGTGCTGATATTTACAATAAATTGTAATATTTCGATGTGTTAAGATGAAACAAAACAAAATGTATATATTTTTGTTTATGGATATTAGATTTTTTGGGTCGTGCGTAATTATGAACCTGTGCTGTGATGAGACTTAAAATGTATGGAATCTTGCGAGGTCACCAACAAAGGCCCCTGTCGATCGGAAACTGCACTAATTCAGACGACAGCCGAAGGTTTGTCGCTAAATAAATATTTTTATAGTAGCGAAATGACGCGACCTCTACAATCTTTTTTTCTTTTTTTTTTCTTTAAAACAGCAATCGCGTCGTTGTCGAAAAACGAGCGCACGTTAAATAAATTTAATGTTTTTAAGCGAAAACGGACATTAAATTTGCCATAAGTCGTTCTAAGTTTCGCCTTCGTTTCTCACACGGTCCATACACGCTGTATCAATCTTCAATCAATGTTCAATAATGGTTTTATTGAATAAATTGCCTTTTTCTGATCAGAAAAAAAAAATGTACATTTCGGTCAATATTAAAATTGTAAGCTCTTACGCAGCCACGAAACAAATCGAACTCTAATGGTGGAAGTTTAATAAACATTAATTGTTATTCCCTTTTTTACCACTAGTGCTGTTTATATTATTAACTTATAATGTTCATACTTAAATAGTGATGTTAACGGAAATAAGTGTCATTTTTTTTTAAGAAGAATGTGTAATTTAATTTGTTAATAAAAGAAGTAACTGCTGTTCCCCGTAAAACATATATGCATACGTGAAAGTCTGGCCCCCCTATTGATTAGTTACGTATTTTATTTGTAATCAAGCTATGTACTTACAAGTAATAATGGAAAATTTTAAAACCGTTCATATACTTACTGTAAAGCTATGTAAAGTATTGTCTCATATGGGCTATGTGGAATACATTATCGCTATGCTATATCTAATACTGTAAGCTGCTTAATTATGGGACTTAACTGGTTAAATTCAAAAGATAAATAAATAAATACGATCAATGAACCGTCTGTTATTCAACTTCACGGACTTCACGACACGCCCAGGAACGAATTGTCGTGGTACTATTGGTACTAATGGTAAAATTAATGACTTCCATTTAGGAGAAATTACAGTTTTCTGTGGTATGGTAAGACTCTTGCTTATATGCATTATGGCGAAGTCGTGGGAACCCGCTTTGGAAAAAAATCGATTCGTATTAAATAGAAGGCGCAATTAAAAGGAAAATATGGAAGAAAATAAAGGTAGTAATGATAATGAAATTAAGATTAATATATATTTTTTAATTATAAAATCATATTGAATTACTGTAAAGTAGCATATAAAAGAAAAAGCCAACATCACGCGGTGTTCCCAGGCGGTCACCCATCCAAGTACTAACTGCGCCCGTAGTAGCTTCGGTGATCGAACGAGAACCGGTGTGTTCAGCGTGGTATGGACGTTGGCGACGCCATCGGTGAAAATTGGAACTAGAAACAGCTTTTGAGAATTTATAGCAAAATTTCATATTATATAAATAAAACCCTAATAAATTAAGTGACCATATTATTATCGTTAATTAAATAAATATTAGCTTAGCTATAATGAACTTGCACTTTATAAATAAGTGCTGTCCTACCATTATCTTTGTTTTAATAATAATCGTAACATTGGAAATAACAATCGGCAGGGAATGTATAATCAATTACCAATTAAAAATCAGCGAGAACTCGTTTTCTGTAGGCGAAATGAAATTTTATGGGTGATAGGTCGGAATCCTAGTTTAATTACAATCGTAATTTTCATTTTAAACCCAAGGAAATTTAAATTAATTTTGCAAATACATATGCCTACAACATATTGGTCGAATTGTATTTTCTGATCTAAATTTATCTATAATGTTCACCCAAAATATGTACAGGGAAGCCATAGATATTATTAGTGTTAATTACGTTAAACTGCTTATTGTTTATTAACACGATTACGATTTATTTATTATCGCTATCGATACTTTATTTCTATTAAATTATCAAAGCGGCACTTACAATGATCTTAGTACCTACCACAGACCAACTTGTATTTAAATACTCTAGATAACGCCCTGCAACGCCTGTCGAGTACATGTGCGATAGCAGCGCCAAATAAAACATAAACTAAATGGCGATATTTGAGATGTGTTGCAATTAAAAGTTTATTTTTTAATTTTAATACAATTGTATATGTATATTAAACAATTGAAAAATGCAGTTTATTTTTATTGCATATATATTGATTTAGCTGCAAAAAAAAAGTTTTGATTAACAAAAAAAATAGCACAAAACTCAATTGTTATTGGGCTACTTATTTTTAGTGTTACTAACATTTCCAGCGCATAATTACACGTATTATATCTTTACCCAGTAATATTACACGATAGTATTAACAACATGACAAATGCTCTTAACTACTATTTTAATTTACGACCTCGAACGTGCGTAATGCACGTCTTAATACTTGACGTTTTATCACATCGCTAACAGATGGCACTGTCCCTCACAATTTTTTGACAACTGACGTATCAGTGACTTACCACGTCCACAACAGATGGCAGTACATGCGCTTTGTAACTTGAAGGGTTTATGTCGGAACATATTCGTACTCAAAACGCATAGTGGCCTGAAATACTAAGTCAAATTAAACCACTTCTCCGTAAATGAAGTTATAAAACTTTACAATTTTTTTGAAGGTCAATCTGAAGTGGACCTTGTTTATGATACAAATACAATTCGTGTCCTGAATCTATCATCTCCTGTATATAATATGGATAGGTGTGGGTCGTTACGTCATTTTCAAGAAACGTAACAAAACCAGTGACTTGGTCGGCGTCACCTGTTTTAAAACTAGTGATTTTTTGTAACTAGCTGTTTTCATTCAGCTACTGTGATTGTTTGCATAAATACGTCCACCAACTATACAGTTACACACGAATCGAAAATAAATGAAATCACTGTTTTGTGTTTGTAGCTATACAGTTAAATCAATAAATTAACTGCCCTTCATACTTTATTCAGGCTTAGGACTGACTCCATTAAATATATTTATGATTGATTAGTGTTTACTATGAAACTATGATTTTAATAAAATTATTAATGCAGGCGCATTTAAAAGTTAATTTGATTGTATATACAATGATTATTAATATTTATAGGTTATTTACACTTTTGATATATTTACAAGTTTATTTACACTTTTTCAACGTTTTCACTGTCATTTGTTTATATCGCCCACTACTAGTTCGGTGTGTTGCGTGATATGGCATCACGCGTTTGAGAATAACGCATTTACAAAAATCACTACTTTTATGTTGACTCGAAACTAGTGATTCAGTTACACATTACGTCACAGGTTATTGTATCTAGTGACGTGAAATAACGCCCACGTCCAATTATGGATAATTGATATCTTTTCTGGTAACACTTATCTAATAGCAGCAATTTACCAATGAAAAAAAACCGTTAATATTTAATTCTACTGTCTGGAAGACATTTTTCGCACTTTGTATTAAAAATTAAGACAAATGTTTTAGTCAATTCACATATTTTGTTATATCACAATTTACGCCAAACTATAACAAAATTTTAATTCAAATTCAATAATAAACGGTTAGAACAAAATAAAATTTAAAGAAAATTATTTTAACAAACTTCATATGCTTTTCTGTGTTATTAAATTAGTAGCAATCGATTAATACGAATTTTGTATGAAGTACGAACTTTTAATAGTTTTAGGTAGTAATGAAACAGCTTTAATATTTATTGCACGACTCATAATGCGAAGCATTAAGAAGTGCTCTACGAACGAATAATTTTTTTTCCTCAATTTCGTAACTTTTTTCATCAATAACACGATTAATAATTCATGTAATTTTATTAACCTGTGCACTATTTGATAGATAATTTAATGAAGATTAATTCTATCACTGGTTCAAATCGATTTAACATAATACAATTAGAAAAACTATCAAAATAGTCAAAAGAAATTTCCTGTCAATCAACACTTTTTTCGTTCCGGACACGATAGCGAGCGTAAAAATTCACTAATTTGATCCATTTTTTTTTTTAATAGCTTGAGATCCACTGTCCGGAGATTGGTATTGAAAATGGTTAACTTGATTTGTGTCGTTTAATAATTATTAACAAAAAACGAATGAACATTATGAGTCGTGCACTTTTGGATTTTCCAAATATTTTATTGTATTTTAATATATTTAATAAACTTTTATTATATTTATAGCGAAAATTAACCATTCCACGTGTACCATTACGGTGACGTAGACACAAAAGTTTCTCCGCTAATTCAAACAACGTGAGGAATGTTTGAGATCCATTTCAATTTTTGGGATCTTTTACGTGTTTCCAAAACTCGTCTTTATATTCATCATTTTTTGTCCAGTTCCTAAGTCGTCTGGATAAATTCTTGAGTAGGAATAAAATAAATCTGCAAAGGAGGGGCAGGTTTTCTTTAATTTGAAATACAGAGTTGTCTTAGGATTTTTCATCTTCGGACATTTTAATGTACTTATCTTAAAAGAAAACAATTTTAATCAATATTTGCTCAGAATAAAGACGGCACCAATCAAAAGACAGTAAACATTTGGATTGAAACAGAAAGCGAAGATGTCAATCATAAAACAGCAAATCTGTTAAAACAATAGGGTTAGTGACACTGGTCTATACTGTGACTAGTTTCTGTAAACATCGCCAGTCGGTTATGTTACTTAAATAAAAATTGTATTGCTGTTAACATAACTTGACATTCTTTTGTTACATGCTGCACACGCTTTGTAGCGGAGCGTGGTCTAACATTTTAGACCAGGTCTAGATTTTTCCATGTTATTTACAATACACAGAATTGTATAAATGAACGCAAAAAAATGCCCAAAATTAAGCTAAATCCTATCATTTTATTATCGTTCGATGAATAAGTCACCGAAATAGCTTTTTTTGGTAGAGTGAAAATTTGAAATGGCCACCATTTTTAATCTTCCGACGAGTACGAAAATGAACAAAATTGGATATTTTATACCAAATACACACACACACATATGTGTATGTGTGTGTGTATATATATATACAATTATTAAACTTCCGAATGAATGGATTTTCTAAACCTATTCGACTACTTTTAATTATTTTCAAAAATTTTACTGTATTTTAAATAATATAGTAAAATTATTGAAAATTACCGCCATTAAACCTATTCAATAGTTAGATTTCCATACAAATCTAATAAAATAATAGGCCGAGTTCGATACAAATTTTACAATTAGGGTTCCGTAACATATTTGTGTCATTTATTTAACAATAAAAAAATATTACGATGACGACACAAACCAGATTCTAATTTTCCCAGTTTAAGTTAATATTATTTTTTATTTTACACCAGAATCAACATGCACTATATGTTCAATATAGTATAGTGCATAGCATATATAACTTACCAAGTTTCAAGCTGAACGCTCATACGACTAAGCGACAAAATAAAACGAGAAAAAATAATTTTACTATATGGGGACCACCCACAATTTCTTACTTTTCGTTTTTTTCATTATCAACCAAGACATCCGCCGTACTACACGTACTACTAAACTCATCAATACAGTCAACCGACGTATCATAATAATACCTAAATTATTTTGATAGTTTTATAATTCGTGCAAGAAAGAATAGTCAAGATTTCCACGCATTGGCTACCTTAAAACAGTGACTACACGAGACCGCTGACTTCCGTATGCAAGTTCCGTACCAACGAACGAGACAAAAATTGCAAAAATAAAACCGGCCAAGTGCCAGTCGGCTCGCATACTAAGCGTTCCGTACCACCGTACAATATTTACTGCTACATATTTTGTTAACGAAAACACAAGAACAAAAATTGAGATTAAACAAAAACGCAGAAAGAAAACCACTTTTTCTGCATGGGATCTCTTTGTATTTTTAACTTTATTTTATTTTTATTTTACGTTGTTATAACGGATATTTTTAGATTCACGTTTTGTAAGAATTTAATTAATTATTCAAATCACTCCATATTTTGGAAATTTTAATCTAGAATAATACATAACACTGTGACACACAATCGACAGTGTTATGTATTAAAATTCGCATGTGTGCTTGTATGAGAATGTTATTATATTTTTAAAATTTAAAAGTGACAGTCGACAGATATCTAAAATGAGAGCAGGTAAACACCTAACAAATGTGAAACTTAAAAATTCGTTTTTTCCAATTGAAATATTTTTGAATGAAAACAAAAGATACGGACCCATTGAATCGAAAAACAGTTTTCACACACCAGCAAAATATTTAATTCGCCTATCCAACGACACGAAACCATCCCTATTTTACTTGTAGACCATAAAAATTTTTTTCCAGATTTTATTTAAGATTTCGTCAGCTTGATTCACCCATGCCAAATTACAGCT